CGTTGTTTTAAAGCTGTATGGTTTTGAAGATAAAAAAATGGTAATAAATAAAGTCTCCGAACTGAAAGGTAACAATATATATACTATTGAGATTTTACCTTGACAACGAAAAATTTACGAATAACTCTTTACTACAGGCAAAATGGTTATTATCCAAAGTTATATATAGCAAACTTTTAGTTCGCGAATTATTCTAAAGAAGTTGAATAGAAATAATAATTTCTGTTTGTTTAAACATTTTTATTTAAATTTCTTCATATTTAAGTTTATTATCTTATTTATTAAAAAAATTTTTGATGATGTAAATTATACTTCACATATCTGTCTGAGGTTTGGCATGAATGAGAATGTTTAATAGAATCAAATTATAATGATAATTAATTATACCACAAGGAAATAAAAAAGGCGGATAATTAGGTGTTTATGTACTTGAAAAGTATTCCTTTAAAATAAAAATAAAACAAGTATTTTTGCATGTAATAACTTCAAAAGTCTCTTTATCAACTAGTTATTATAAAAAAATATTATTTGTTTCTGTTCAACTTGATAATTTTAACCATTTCAAGATTTTATCAAAAATAGTTTTTTAAAATTAACAAGCAAAATAAAAATTATAAAATTTAAATGGCAAAACTTCTCTAACTGCCATTAATTACATTTTTATTTACAATTACTTAGAAACCTTATTTAATGCAATAATTTTTATGACCATTATTAGTGATCATTTGCCAATACACAAGTGAAAAATATTACACTTGTTTCTGATGATCATCCAAAAAATGTTAAGGTAGTTGTTTAAAAATATTCATAAATGTCAAAATGCAAATGAAGCGTGTAATTTAATTTTAAACAAGTTTAAAGAGATTTTCAATGAAGCGTGACAAACTGAAGTTGTTAAGATAAAAATAAAAACACATTCTGATCTATGGATAAATAATAAAATCCTTTAAAACTAAAAAAAGAATTATAAACTAATTTTTTTAAAATTAAAATACATTTAATGAAAACAATTATAAAACATATAATACTTTTATATCAATCTTCTCAAATAAACTAAACAAGTATATTACAATGAACAATTACTAAGTGTAAGTTTGATACTAAAAAACAAGAGGTAAGTTATCAATGATTTAATTGAAAAAAATAAGAATAAATTTTCTTCTCCACCAAAAAGAATCAATATCAAAAATGCCGATATATTCTGTTCTAAATAAATATCTAAGGAGAATTGTTACATTATTTTACACATGTTGGACTTGATCTTGTAAACAAAATTACTCCAACCTTTCATACTTTTAAATTCCGAATATCTAAAATCGTTAGATGAAACATCATTGTATGATTTTGATTTAATAATAAAAGAATTAAAAACAAATTATTGAAATTTGATGATATACCCAGTAATGTGCTTATTTCAAAAAAAAAAAAAGTATTAGTATACCGTTTTTCTATAAGTAAAACTTTTCTTAGGTCAAGGGATATTTCCTAATGTACTAAAATTAGCAAAAATATATCTAATTTACATAAATGATGAACATTTGTTACACAGGCTTGTTTAGTGCTTTCTATATTTTCAAAAATGTTTGAACGTGTAATTTTCATTAGAATCTTTGACCATTTAAGAAAAAATACAATTCTTTTTAACAATTAGATTTTTAAAAACTTAACTGAACATACATGTATTGAATTAACTGACCAAATAATGACTTTAACAAAAAAAAATTTACTTAAGATATGCTTATTGATTTATCAAAAAAGTTTGACATTGTTAATCATTGTATTTTGTTAGAAAAGTTAAAGCATTATGGGATCAATCAGGTCTACAATTGGATTAAAAATTACCTCACTTATAGAAAACAATATGTTCTAAATAAGGAATACGGAGCACTTAAAACCCCGTGTTGAGTACCATAAATTTCAACTCTTGGTTACATAAATGACTTAAAAAACCAAATTATGTTTGCAGATGAATTAAACATATTTCTTCATAGAATAGGTCAATATCATCTATTGAAAAAACAAAGTATACCTTTTTTTGTAGAAAAATTACATATACATTTATACGCAATACGAGTAATCTTAACTATTCTTGTATATAATTTTTAAATGGCATTTTTATTTTTTACTTTTGAATATTTGCAAGTGACGCTTTACAATAAAAGCATGTCACAGATTACGGGGCGTTGTGGTGAGATTAATATTGTCTACTTTTTGCCCTGGTCATATAATTATCAGTTATGTTCACGAAATTGTAATTTTTTTATTGATAAAGCATTTTTGACTAACTCTGTTGAAAGCTTTTATTAGATCAATAAATATTACATCGTAGCAGAAATAATTTATTTAAAAAATTTCAAACGGTTTGCATTTTTGAAACATCTTGCTACTATAGTCAATATTTTGAAAATGGGGGTCAAATGGGCAGGTCATGGATTTTTAGCGTTCGAGATAACTTTCAGAGATGGTGCAAAGTTTTAATTTTATAGTATTGATATTGGTGTCAAATGAAAATATTTAAAAAAATCGGTGTCAAATAAGAATTTTTATAAAAAATACAGTGATCAGAGTCTGGTTGGAACAATATTAACCAAAAAAATTGGTTCCTACTGTGCTAAATGTAAAAGAAAAAAAAAACATTTTTGCCATGATAATATCTTAAACTAGATTAATAGTCATATTAAAAATTAATTTATCTTAAAATTCTTAAAAATTTTATCTTTAAAAATAAAGACCAAGTAAAGTTTACAACGCCTATAAAAAAATTTATCAATTTGGAAAGATTTAAATTGTGACGGGCGACAATTCCTTTGAAACTACTTACAACATCTACATGCAGGAGAAAATAAGCTTCTATTCATCTTACACTATTTCTAAAACTGATCTTAAAACAATTTTTGTCCTGATTGTTATGTGGTAAATAATTTTAATTACAATGTGAAAAGATAATTAAAAACAAAAATTCTGGGCTTGAATTTTGTAAACTTTATTTCATAGAATAAGATTTTGGAGCAAAAAAAAAGCAACTTATAAGGTTTGTTTTTAAATTTATTGACGTTAACACTGTTTGGTTCATCTGTAATTATACTGATCGTATAAGATCAAGAGGTAGAAAAACCATATACCAAGATTTTATTTTTGTACTCATTTTGTAACTTACGTACACTTTGCAAACATTTTGTAACTTACGTACTACTTTATTCTTTTTCATTCGCTAAACTAAATTTTCAAGACTTTTTAATAACATTTACGATAAGACTTGCTTTTTTTAAAACGATTAGGTTTATATATTCAAAATTCTAGTGAGACTACATTCATTTGAAGCTTCTGAAGTTTTTCTATTGATAACGATGTTATAAAAGAGAAATATTGTTAAAGTATTTAAAGAAGTTTATTATTAGGATTACCACAAATGAAAATCTTTCTTCCATCCGCTTTTTTTTTTTTAAACTTAATTAACAAAATGTTTTCAAAATAAATTTTTGTATCATGTTCTTAATGTGATGTTTTTTCATTTTCATTTTGATCACATTTTAAAACAATTCTAACTTAAAATTCCAATTCAAAATTAGTATCGATTTTTATATGAGTATTATATTGTGTAAGGATTCCAATTAGGCAGAACACATTATTTGGCAGAGCACATTACTTTGGTAAATGTCTTTATAAATTCCACCAAGAAAGTTTTTGTTGTCGAGATGAATGAATATTTTGAGAGATGTTGCTATTAATATTATAGTTACTATTTTGATATGATATTTTCATTATTTTAACATTTTTATTTATTATGAAAACATATGCATTTCATAGTTTTTTTTTGTTGTTATTTGTTACGTGCTACGTTTTTATTTTCGCAAGTTAACTTGTATTTGAATAAGTTGTTTTTAGTATATCTTATGTTAGTTGTTTTGGTTTCTATAACTTTTGATTATGAAAGTTTGTTTAAATCGTTTAAGTAACACGTTTTTTTTCTGCTGAGGATTATAAAACACTTTTCTGTTTGATTTTCACTTATTGGTTACTTTTAATGTTATATTTATAAACATATCACTTATATTGTTTTTATTTTGACTATAAATTTCAGTTATTCTCTGTTAAACCTTTTTAATATATTTTTTTTTACAATAATTGCTTTTGTCTCATGGAAAGTTATTTCTTGTCAGCATGTTTAAAAACAATATTAATGACATAACAATATAATAATAAATTTCAAACAATAGTTCAATAGAACTATTGTTTGAAATTTATTATTATATTGTTATGTTATTAATATTGTTTTTGATTTATTATTTTAATCATTTTATTATTTATATTTATTAAAGTTATTTGTATTATTGTTTTTTTGATGGTAGTTACTTAAAATTAGTTTTAAACTTTGTAAATGCAATATGAGATTTTCGTCAAAACAAGGGCGGATCCATACTAGTGAAGTCAGAGGAGGAGCGGTTAGTTTTTAGGTTTATTTGATTTGGTAATCTAGTAAGGGAACGATTTTTAGATTTGTAGTCAGGCAGCAATTTATAGTACATTAGACAACAATTTATAATATATTTTTACTTTTTTTTTAATATCAGTCTTAATGTAACCATGAAGTGACGTAAAGTAATTTAAGATTTAAAATTAGCATCAGACAGTTTTATATAAAATTCTATATTATATTTAAATAGTTTTTTTTTTGTAATTTACCTCCCCAAGGCCGAGAAGGCCACTACAGATGAGGAAGTTACTTATGGTTATAACCTTCTTTCAACTCTATAAATCCGAAACACGAACCTTGACGAACAAGGCCGCTGCGTGGAGAAACAAGTTGAGCGCGGTACTACCAGGGACGTGGTGGGATTGAACTCCGAACCTCTCGCTTATAAAGCGAGCGCTCTATCACTAAACCACTACCGCATGGTAGCTTGGTAAATGACTTTTTTTTTTTAAAATCATTTACCTTTAGATAAACAGTAAAGAAGGTATAATTTTAATTAATTTTTTTAAACAATATTTTTATATTGGCATTTATGTAACACAATTAAAAAATACAATATAAAAAATAAAGTATGTTAAGCAACTAACCAGCAGATGTGTACACAAACAACATGCTGATCTTGCAAAGTTATTAAAGATAGTATAACTAAACTAAATGTTTAAATATTCACTCATATATCTCTATTATAAAAAATTTTTTAGAACTTTATTTCCTTAGTAATATAGTGCCATCTTCTAATATATGTCTGTTAACAACATTTGACTCTTGAAGTGTTTGAGTTTGAATAACTGGAGTATGCTGGATAGAGATTGTTTCTGTTTCAATATCTTCTTTTTTTAAGTTAGTCTGTGAAGCAGGAGCATATATAACACCATTATTGTATACCCATTGAACAGGCTGTAAGTTGCCTGATTGAGTTTGGTTAATTAAAGTCAGTACTTGGCTTACTGGTTGTGACGATTGTGTATGATTTGGACTTTCAGTGACAACAATCGATCCTTGATTGCTATGATTTAGTATGACATTGTTTCGTAAAATTTGAGAATTCCCAGTAAGTATAATATTCTGAGGATGAATGCGATGTAATTGAAGTTGTCCAGATAAAATCTAAATGAGATGAAAAAACAAACATTTAAAAATAAAAAAATGAAAAACAATTATACTACAATAAAGGCTATTTGTTACCTGTGATGTTTGTTGATTTTGCGAGTATTGCACAGTCGTGTTAATAGAAGATGCAGGAGTCATAATTGTTGTATAAGTTTGTTTTGTGTTACCTTTTGATGATGTAGATTGCACAGGATAATCAATATTATTATCTGATGTGACCTGAATTATAAATGTATACATAACAAAACAAAGTTACAAACTGTATAATTCTAACTAACATACGATCCAAACCAAAAAAATAGATTCCAAAATATAATTCCTTTGTGTATAAAAATATTACCATTTCTTTAGCTTATTATTTAAACTATAAATTGTATTTAACTACATAACATCAATGCATGGTATTTTAATAAATGGCAAACTAAAAGCATGGTGTTGTTTAATTAAATTGTAAATTTTAAGTAGTAAACCAAAAGCATGGTGGTGTATAAGTTAATGGCAAATCAGAAGTTTGGTGGTGTTTAATAAAGCAGTTAAATAGAGACAAAGAATTTGTTAACTATTATTTGCTTTGAAAATAAAAATATCTACAAACTATAATTGCACAAAAATTTTTTTTTGATAGTTCCTAAATACTGATTAACTCTTACATTTTTTTATCATTTGATTCTTTTTCATTATTTAAGGTTTTCTAATTATTCTAAACTATTTAATTCTTTTAATTTATTTCAAATAACTCTGAATAATGTATTCTATTCTATAATAAATTATAATAACAACTATAAATTTGTTAAAACAATACTCATATTCTTTATTAGTGGGTTATTTGATTACTTTACAACACTACTTTAACATAAGATATTTAACACTACTTCAAAATAAGAAATTTAACATTACTTTAACATAAGGTATTTAACACTACTTCAAAATAAGAAATTTAACACTACTTCAAAATAAGGTATTTAACACTACTTCAAAATAAGGTATTTAACACTACTTCAAAATAAGGTATTTAGCACTACTTTAAAATAAGGTATTTAACACTACTTTATGTGAAGTACTCACTTAGTTTACAAAAAATAACACCCATGTAGTTTACAAAAGTAACTAAATATAAGGTTGATAATTATTAAAAAAGGAAACAAAAATTTATTTAGAAAAAAATGCTAATTTAACAACAAATATAAATAAAATAATCTAATCTAAAATTTTTTCAAAATTAATAAAATGATATACTTATACAAAAACTATACAATTTTAGTATTTTAATTTTTTATTTTAAAGTAACTTTATGTAATGTTCATAAAGTAAAAACTTTAGGTAAAGTGCACACCATAATATAACTTCAAATTCTCTTACCTATGAGTTTTAAAATTTATATATGCATTCAGATCCTTTAGTTATGTGTCTTATGTTTAATGCTTCTTAATAACAATAATATTATCTTATAAAATAGACTGACCTTCGTATTTTGTGGTGCATATTCTAATTCTGTTTCTTGAAATTCATTTTGTGATAAACAATCATTTGTATCATCAAGAACATGTGTTGATAGTTGGTTATCTGAGGTAATTAGCTGCACTTGAGGATGCTGTTGTACCCTTAGAGCAGTAACAGGTGTAGGATCAGGAGAATTTAAACACGTCTGGATAAGTGCTTTGCCACTTTCAGAGGTAATCATAGGCTGCAATTTTCTTGTTGCAAATGTGTAAACATGCCCTGTTTCCGATGCCACAAGTAGCATTACTTGAGTGCCAGTTAATGTACTGAGTTCATATGCCTATTTGAAATAACAAACATATTGAAACTTTTACTATTTTTTTATTTATGTTTAGTAATCAAATAAATATTAAAAAACAGTGGAAAATAAACTAATCAATTAAAATTTTTTTTTCGAAAAATCAATTGCTTAAATGAACTATTTGCATAATTTACTAAATTAAAAATTAATACCTACTTTCTTCATGATGCCTGTTTTTCTTTTGCTGAACGTCGTATATCTTCTCAATTTATTTTGTATAAATTCCATTTTTATTTTCACTCTTCCTCTTGTTTTTTTTGCAACTTTTTTAACAGTTCCTTCAAAAGGATCATTACTATTTGATTTATCATCATGTTGAATGTTATCGTCGTCAGTTTCAAGGTCTTCGTCTAGAGATTCTTGATAATGCTTTGTCTCGTCAACAATGAGTGGCTGGACAAAACTCAAATGAGTGTCTTGGACCTCATTATGTATTTGATAACTGAAAGCTTGATGAGGTGGAAAGTGGTGTTGATTAGTTGTCGAATATTGAGATAGCGCATTGTTTTGATTCATTTTGAACTTTTTCCCAATATGGATCGTGGCTTACTTTATATAGACTCACCGACACTATAGAATATGACAACTTTGTTTCCTTGAAAGGCGTTGTTTTAACAAACAGCTGTTTAAGCCGGGATGTTTTAAGCGTCGAATAATTTTACGGTAGCCGAATTTGAACACTGGAGTTTGTAGAAAGATCTGATCCCGTCTACCTCTGATACATCTCATCTAGGCCTAATACTATCCCACCACATCAAAATTTATCTTCCTCTTTACCACATAGGTACCATACTAACCCAGTATTTATGGTTTTACAGACTATGATTGCATGCCAAAAATAAGTTTTGTGTGTTTAAGAAAAAAAAATTTCGGTAAGTAATTTTAATAAACCCATATTCCAATTTACAAGTACCCACATAATTCATCAATACATCTATCAGTTATAGAAGCAACTCATATACTTTCCATTATAAAGATAAATTTCTCATCAAAGTTTAACATATTTTATTGCTTCTCTTTAAAAAGCTATTATCCAATACCAACTCAATAAAAAAAAAGAAAGCTGCTCAATTTTCCACTATGTAAATTGAACTATTTTCCTAACTACCGCGATTTCCTAATTATCGTGAAGTTTACCGTGGTTAATGTAAAATATTCAAAAATTAACGGAATTCAAACTTAATTTAGCCGTATCTTTTGAACGCTAAAATATAGTTAAAACTTTATTAATAAATTATGATGCTATTTAAGGCAAAGCAATTTTTTTTTATAAAAATAGTTTTCATTTATGCTCTAAGAGCGTTTTTTAATGTTACTTTGTCCATGTGCATCATTTGCCGTAATTTTTTGCAGAACTCAATTTTTTTAATAAATAATTAATAAAATAGAAGTTGCAATATTTTCCATGTTTGAAAGAAAAAAAATCCGTCTTTATTGACACACAAAACTTGAAAAAATATTTTTCTTTGTCTGAATTAAAAACTGAATTATATTTGTCTGAATTAAAAAATCAGACAAATAAAATGTCAAAAAGAGTATTTTGACTTCTTTTTTTTGGCTTCAGATTGTAAAAATATTTGAAAATTTTTTAATATTCTGTGATCAAGACAAATATACTTAACTTGTTTACTCTTTGTTCTTTCACAAATTTTTGTGAAATTGATTCACAAGATACAAAATCAGCTTTAAGACATAATACAATAGTTTAACTTTATAGACGATAACGAGTTATTTTATAACAATAATCTTTAATAACATCTCCTCAAAAACTTAAGCTCATAATTGGTTAAATATGCTAGACCATCTGATCACTGGTAACACAACATTATCTATAGTATTTATACCGTCATTTTCTTTTTCATTAGCAACTTTTGTCTCTTTGATCTTTTTGTCTTTTTATTTAAAAATACCTGAACCTTTTATAACTGTCATTATCTTTTCTTGTAAAACTATTTCTGAAGTCTTATTCTTTTTAGTTTAATCAGTTGTATGAACTCTCCTCATTTCTCGCGCTTGTCTTGATACACTATCATTTTCAATATTTAGTTTTGTAATTATACTACTTACATTACCAAATATTTAACTTTCATTGTTCTCCAACTCAATTTATTCTCGTAACCAGTTGTGATTACCCAGGTTTTGTAAAACTTTCAGGTGTTTCAGTCATTGGTGTTGACATTTTTATGTCTTTGCAGCTGTGCGTTATTTTTTTTATTTTTTTTTTAATTTTTATTAAATATTTATGCGCTCCTGAAAGTCCTAACTTATCACAGAGTACCGCGGAATATTATATGCATCCGTGGCTAGAGTCGATTTCGAACCATTGACCTCCAATTCTAAAGTAATAACTCTAACAACTACACCATGGCCGCATAAATTTAGCTGTGTGGTGATTGTTGTCTTAAATCCCATTTCCTGACGATTTAATGAAAATCTAAGTAAATTGTATGCATTGTTGAGCATTGATAATTAGAAATTGTCTATAATGTCAAAATTAAATAAAGTGTTCTTTCTATCACATATTACTATCTTATGAATATAAGGAGCAAATTGAATAGTTGTTTTTAAGTATCTTTTAACGCCCAGTGGTGACATATGTAACCATATAAAAAACATATTTAGGATAAATCATACATAACAATTCCTGTATAAATTCTTGTCTAAGGTATTGTAAGTAACATATCCTACGTATTATAAGTAACATTATATTTTTGAAAGATTTTAGACAATTTTAAAACATGTTGGGTTTTTCTGTGTTAACACAATGTGGTTATATCATATTTGTAAGCCAACAGCCAAAATATTGTAAACTATTACAGTAAATAAAGTTTATCAGAAATGTTTAAAACTCCATTTAACTACATGGTGTTTCTGAAATAAGTTATTTATTTCATGCTTATTTTGAAAAAATTTCAAAATCACTTTAAATTTAAATTCACTTAAAAGTGAAAATTGCAAAAAATTTGACGTATTGTTTCTGAAACGAATTATTCATTTCATACTTTTTTTGAAAAAAATATGCGCAACATTTTCAGGAAACTCTATTTGATTATTTCAGGCGCTTTTAACCACTTTTAAAACCACTATTAACTCTCGACCAATGTTAAATTTGAATTTAAATTTGATTTTAATGATATCATGAGTCGTTTTTGATGAAAAGATACAAAGGTCTTCTGCGGTTCTCCAACCAGTATGTCACAGAATGTAAGTTTTACTACTTACTACTATTTTGAAATTCTAATGAAAGTGTTTATTTCTTGCGTTTGTAGCTGCATATTGGTATATAATATTTTAAAAACTTAATTGAGCTCCTAATTCTGTCTAATAATTAATTAGCGCAGAAAAACACTCTTGCACAATTGTTGTCCTTAAATGTGTTTTAATTCCTTTTAATGTACTGAAAAATTATTTGGCGGCTGCCAGGCCTACGGGCAGCGTCACATATAGCATAAGTGCTGCGATTATATCTGTGAATAATCAACTTATATCACAATATATTATTGTGGACACGGATAAAATGCGAAAATGCAAAAATGTTCAACGTGTAAAATATGAGAATAAAGAACGGTAAACTTCTCCTAGCTTTAACTCTATTGCTGCCCCAAACCAAACCTTAAGTCAATGCAGTCTTACTTCTTTGCATGTTCCCCCTTAATCAGTCGATGTATGTATTTAAGTCCCTAACTATTTTTCTGCAATTTATTTTCGCACTTATACCTGTTGAACAGTGCCATACAGAAGATTTGAAGAGGGCAAAGGCTGATTTTTAGGTGGGGCGCGGCAATTAGGGTGGCCTACTAAGCAAGCCCCGCAAGGGCAAGCCCAGGGGGGGGGAATTCTTAGAAAGTTTCTTTGCCCAGCTGCTAGGGGATCTGTGAGAGAGTTGTAAGCTCACGTAGTGGGGTCTTTGGCGAATCTCCATCCATCAACAATTTCAAACCACTTGAAAACCCAAATCAACCATTTCCAATAGGCCTACATTATTTTATTAGAAATAATGAATACCTGATGATCTTTTTGCATCATTCATTTATTTATCTAACGAAAGCAAATTGAAAAGATCAGAATAGTAAGTTATACGCATTTGTAATATATTGTAAAATAATATAAACCGGTCTTGTGTTTAAAGTGACCTACGACGTGATTTAATCAGTTTTAATTTTGAAAATGATCCTTTAGCTGTTGCTGTAAATGCTGACAGACTGCCATACATGTTGAGAAAGTAACAGAGAGTAGAGAAAACATGTTCAAGGTAGTTGTTTTTTATGGTGGCAAGAATTGTTTTAACATCATTTCTAGGAATGGTGTAAGATGAATAGAACGCGCGTAGTTCTGTTTGGAGCTTTCTATTTTCTGCATGCTCATAGAAGTTGCAAATAGTTTCAAGGGACTTGTAAGATTCATCACAACCTTTGTCTTTCCAGATGAAGCTGTCAGAGTTCTAAGAGCATTAAGTATTTTACCAGTTTGAGTTGTTTCGTCTTTGAACCTGTTTTGGAGCTCTTGTAATATTATATCAATAAAAGGATAGAATACCTTAACCCTGAAGATTCTTCAAGATTCTGAAGTGAATATTCTCTGGATGTTGAGCTGTTGTATCTTGCAGGCGTTTTGCACTTTCTTCTCAGTCCGGGTATGTTTTCAGGAATATCTATTAAAGCCTCATCAGCACCCATCTCAGCAGTACTGTAAATCCAGCTGCAGTACTGTAAATCCAAACTCATGATCTGATGATCGCATCTGACTATGTCTACTAAGAATACCGTCAATTATTCTAGACAAGGCAGCAAGATCAAAGTCATAATATTGCAGTAAGTATAATGCTACTACTGTCTCCAGAAAGAGAGGAGTTGCGACTTCCAGACATATGATGAATTCAAAATTAATACTATGCAAAAGCATTGCTGCATCACTGGGGCATCAGGTGGCTCGTTTGACAACAGGTCAAAAAAGAAATGAACAAAAGCTTTGAAAACACATTTGATTGCTTTAAGAGCTGACTCACGGCATGCCCACCGATTATCTGACAGCTTTTTCAGTTCAATTATAGGTTATCTGGATATACAGATCGTTGTATTTTTACAAATAGTGCATGCCGTTTACCGGATGATGAAATGAACACATATAATTTTTCAACAATTTTAAAAAATGAAAGAAATGATCTGCTCGATTTTGCAGCTTCGACAAGAACAAGATTGAGGCAATCGGCATGACAGTGAATATATAAATCTCTTTTGTTTACTATGTATTCTAAATGAATTTGTCACAATTTGTAGTTATTCTATCAAATTATGTCATTTGGGCTGAATCAGTTGGATGTTTCAGCTGTAGGCCTAATAAGGTATATAAATAATTGCTGTCCTCTCTGCATGGAATAGTTTCGTCTGTGACAGCCGAAACTAATCCACTGTCTGTGTTATAATATTTATAACTCACAAATAGTATATATTTATATACTCACAAACTTCAGCTTAACTTGCTGCTGCAGTTTCAATCACAGGTTCTTGACCTTCTCTGTTGTTAAGTGGTGTTTCATTTGTCTCATTATCTTAGTCACTAGATTCGGT